TCCCAGGAACTATACTGTGCTATCCCTGAAGAACTGTGCATCTGCAGCAGCAAGCACAGTGCAGAGATTACCAGAGCCTACAGGTGGCTGTGCAGAACACGCCAACGTGCTTCCACAGCCAGCTCACCCCTGTAGGTACAAACTTGCAGAAGGAAACAAGTGCTAGGGGCTCTCAGCAAACCACCCAGCGTTTCACCCCGCAGGAAACCCTCTGTAGCTGCAGCATCAAAGTCCGTTTGTTTCTGCAGCTGCTGTCATGCACCAAGTGCTCCTGCGGCTGCTCTCGGCAGCTGGCTGAGCATCACCCAAAGCACGGCCAGTGGGAAACACACTGGCTGACCAGAAAGGGGAAAAGCAACCCAGCCCACCTCCGTGCCCCAAACTAGTGGTGTTCTGCCTCCAAGTTGCCAGGAATTTGTGTCAGTAAAAACCATTCTCTGGCTACAGCCACTGTTGCCAGAAACTCGTGGTGGAGATTACCTGCTTTAAGCTTATGTTCTTTCTGCAGAAAACTCTCCCAAGGGAGTTTTCATCCCAGTGAGGTAACCTGTTAGATGGAGTACACCAGGAACCCAGCTGATACATAACACCAGTCAACTGAGCTTTTTGGAAGCACGTGGAGGATAATGGTGTGGTTTTATCAAGAACCACTCATGCCAAACTGATTTATGTGCCCTCTTTGACAGGATATGTGGCTGAATGTTCAGGGGAGACTGCAAATGTGAGGTGTTAACACACCTCATCCTGAGCTGCGTAAGATGATGATACTGTAGCAAAACATGACATGACTGGGGTTGTCTAAAGGGCATGCATCTAGCTGAAGAAAAATCTTACTGTTTCCCGTAATGATTTTGTTCAGTGAATTGCACTGAAATTGGGATGTTTAGAGTGGGATCCTGGGGGGATGTGTCCGAGGTCTGCTAAGAGCCAATATTTTCACTGAAGCCTACAGAGGAGCGGCTGTATGAATTCAGGTGATGCTAAGCACAGATGAGGCTCAGGGCTTGGGCTGTGAGAGTTCTGAGGGATTAAATTAGAGTTGAAAATTCTGGGCTTGAAAAAGCCTAGAAGTTGTCTGAAATCAGCAAACAGTGCTTCATGTGCTCCTCACAGACTTTTTGTGGTTTATAGAAAAAAAAGCAACTAGCAGGCTATTGGCTATGTCACGGTAAGTCAGGAGGTACCCTGGAGTTATTGTGGACAAGCAGCAGGATGAATCACTAATACTAGTGCTCTTGCAGAAACAGCAAATCCTGTTTCAGCATGTGTGGTTTGACAGAAAGTGTCAGAAAAAGTAAATTATTTCTCCCTGTGAAGCCTCAGTGATTGATTCAGCTTGCAGCACTTACTTTATGAACAGTGTGGGTAAACTTGGAAGAGTCTCCAGTGAAACAAGAAAAAACTGTAACTGGACATCTGAAAAAGAATCTACTTTGTCTAGAAAACAGTTTAAATGTATGTCAGCCTGAAAGACAGGCTATTAATAGAAGTCATAGTTCAACGGGCGGGCAAGAAATCTTGCTTACTTATAGGATGTGTGGCAAAGCAGTGAAAGAGGAAATTATTAGACTTGCTCAAAAAAAGCCCAAACACCCAACTAAACGTATTTCAAGCTGGTCTGTGTATTCTTGATCCTGTGGTAGCTTAGAGTGAGAAGGGGAACTGTGTGGCAGATAGGTTGGAGAACGTCCCTTCCAGGGTAGCAGTTTTGCATATTTCAGATTTCCTTTTATGGACCTTGCAGATTAAAATAGTGACATCGAGAAAAAGCAAGATAAGCACAGAAGATGAAGGGGCAAGACACAGTGAGAGACATAGCCTGGGGAGGATTATGGGGATGCTGTGGAAGCTCTAGCATGCTTGCCTGATGGAAAACTAAGCCAACCAGAACCGGTGCTAGACTGAGATCCCCTAAGCTGCCTGGAGCCGGAGTCCAGCCCTTTGCTGAGACAGAAGTCTGGCACCAGCTTTGCTTTCAGAGTACCCAGCCTGTGCATGTCACCTCCTGAGGTGGATGCTGCCTGGGAACAAGCAACGGTGTTCTTCAGTCTTCCCAGCAGTTATCCGATGGCAGCTCTTAGAGGTGATGCAGCACAAGCCGTTGGGTAGGGTCACAGTTAAGTCAGTGCATGGTGCGTAATAACAGGGTTTCCACCCTCTTCTCTGTTACAGACACTGGCAAAACTGGCCTGTGGGTTAAACAAGCCCAACCGCCAGACACTGGTGTCGGCACGATTTGTGCCGCAGCTCTTCAGCCAACTGCCCGTCAGCAGCATGTAAGTACTGGGGAACTGCCTGCTCTAGTGCAGCTTGGGGCTGTTCCTGGCCACCTCAGCACAGAGCAATTTGATGCTTACTGATAGCAGCCAGCAAAGGCTTTGAACTCCACAGTATGTGCTCTTCAATGCTCGCAGAAACAAATAGGGGGAATCCTGCCAGTAGTCCCTCATGGCAGAAGGAGTGTGCTTGGGAGTTGCAGCCCTGGTGGTGAAGCAACCACAATCCAGGAGCCCATTAGCAGCCTGTGGGCATCCTTTCCCTGGCTAGGACTGTGCTTAATGTGATTGCTGGGGCGCAAAAGTTTAAGCCAGGAGCAACTGGGGACAAGGAAGCCATAGCTGTTCCCCAGTGTGAATGACAGCCGTGCTCCCAGAGAGCAGACGTGGTTTGGTTTCGAGCATCCATTGTGCACAAATTACTTGTCCTGGTGTAAGGAAGCATTACCAGCACCACTTGCTCCAGAGAGGAATAGATCCCTAATCCTGCTTTCCAGACCTGCACCACTGTTTTCTGCCTTCAGTGCCTTGCTAGAGATGGAGGGGGCTGTGTCTGGGGAAGGGTCCTGTCTGTGTAGGAGGAAGCAGGGCACATGTCAGGCATTCTACAGAGCATTGTTTGGGATCACTTTCTGAAGACGGAGCTGAGGGAGAAGCACTAAGATAGGGTGAGCCAAGGAGCAATTCCTACCTCAATTCCTATATGTCCTTTTACTATGAGCAGAAGAGCTGTTAGGTGCCCAGAGTTCCCTTTTGTCCTGCTAGTTCTTGACTGCTTCTCGCTGTCCAGATCTAGGAACAGCTGCTGCAAGAAGGCTGCTCATAGTCTCCACAAGATGCTTCATTTGAGTTTTCTCTTCTTCTTCCTCTCTCTGCCGTAGCCGTAACCTTGGAGGCAAGCTTGGCACTGCTATCACAGACATCCTGGGAGTAGAGTACATCGGGCAGCTGACACAGTTCAATGAGGCTGAACTCCAGACTCACTTTGGAGACAAAACTGGGTAATGATAAATCACTCACCACAACTTGGCAGGAGCTGAGACTTCCTTTCGGTCACAGGTGGTTCTGCTGTTATTAGGAAGGTTGGAAGGTAAATCTTCAGTGACACCTCTGAGAAGCACTGGTCTGGCAGGCCCATAATGGATTTCCAGTCTCACTTCTCCCAGGCACCCTCCCCAGGATAATGTTTTGCCTGTCAGCCANCAAAACTGGGTAATGATAAACCACTCACCACAACTTGGCAGGAGCTGAGACTTCCTTTCGGTCACAGGTGGTTCTGCTGTTATTAGGAAGGTTGGAAGGTAAATCTTCAGTGACACCTCTGAGAAGCACTGGTCTGGCAGGCCCATAATGGATTTCCAGTCTCACTTCTCCCAGGCACCCTCCCCAGGATAATGTTTTGCCTGTCAGCCAGCTCTTCAGCCTTCCTCTACAGTGTCCAAGGATGGGGCAAAGCTGTGGAAGGGCTCCCGGCGGGCTGGGAAGAGGAGAGTCTTGACAATCCCATCACAGAGGAAGTTACAAGGCTGGACTGGAGACTGAAACACCACTTCTGGGTCCAGAGCAGCAGTTGGGGTGCCCTGCAGACTGGTGAACTGTTGCCACTTCAAGAAGAGGTGGAGGAGTTGTGCTGACAGGCACTTGTGGCCTGAAGGAATCCTGCCTGTTCAGCTGTGGCTGCAACTGCAGAGCTGAGGATGAGAGGCAGCGTCACAGCTTGCACAGAGCTGAAAGTGTGGCTCAGCAGGAGGCTGATGTGCTGCCCAGTGATGCCTGCCTGTCTGTAGCTGCTTTCACTTTATGCTTTCTTTGTGGCTTTCAGGTCCTGGCTCTATGACTTGTGCAGAGGAATTGAAGAGGAACCCGTCAAAAACCGGTACCTGCCCCAGTCAATTGGCTGCAGCAAGAATTTCCCTGGGAGGGCAGCCCTGGCCACACAGAAGGCGGTAGGAGAAGCCTACATCTAGCACAAGGCTTGGCTTTCACATTAGAGAAGATAACACTAAAAACTGAGACTAACTTGCAAAACTGCTGCTTTTGTGTGCAATTGTGCCCTGAAACTGAGGGAGGATGCACTTTACCTATTAGATGGGGTGAGGTTCCCACTGAGCTGTAGGAAGATGGAAAGAGAAATCCAGGACAGAGAATCCAGATTACCTGGCAAAGTCTAAATGCTGCAAGGCTTGTGTGGTATCTGCAATGCTCTTGTCTGCAGTGTTGAATCCTCAGCTGGACTGATTTCTCCAAAAGTACTACAGATGTGGGGCCTTGTGATAGTCTGTGTCCATTCCAGTCTGATCCCTCTCCAGCGTTCCCCAGTGTGGGGAGTGTTGCTCTTGTGTTGTGGCAATGCTGCGAGCAGAGGCCCAACCTGTCTGTTACCACTGTTTTGTCCAGGTGCAACACTGGCTCCTGCAGCTGGCCTTGGAGCTGGAATCCAGACTGAACAAGGACAGGAGCCAGGTAAGCAGGGGAGGCGCAGAGACGGGGAGCCACACAGTGTGTTTGCACCGTGAGTGGTTTCCAGGAGGCTGAGGGTGGTGTGTGGCAAGAGAGGAAGTGTGCTTGCCCACAGATGTGTGCCTGTGTGCTGAGGTGTCCCAAGCAACGAGGTGTGCAGGAGCATGGCTGGAAGGATGGTTTTGCCCCAGAACACTGCAGGGCTAAGCTGGAGCCTTGTCCTGTCCTTTAGGATGCAGGGACATGAAAGCTGCTGCACCTTCCTCCTGGCACACTGCTGCTCCATTGCAAGCCCTGTGCTGACGCAGCTGTGTGGGAGGAAGCGGTATGCTCCAGTCTGGATGGTGGGCTGCAGGCCAGGGAGAGAGTAATCCTCCAGCTTTGGCACTGCAGTGGTGCCAGGAAAAGTGGCGCAGCTGCCTTTGAAGGAAAGCAAGGCTTCCCTCGAATAACTGCTTCCCATCCTGTGTGGCACAGCTGTACAAGCACTTGCTGTTGCGCGTCCCGTTCCTTGGCGATCAGGCCGAGCAGAACGCTCTGTCCTACTGCGCTGTCAGACGGTCCCTGCGGCCTTTCCTGCCCCTTCCTGCAGGAGTCGCTGGAAGCACAGCTCAGCCTTGCTCTGCTCTGTTCTCGCTGCAGAACCACCGCGTGGCCCGGCAGCTGATGGTGGTCATCCGCCAGCAAGGGGACACTCGCGTGTCGCGCCTCTGCGCCCTGTCCCGCTACGACGCACAGAAAATTTGCAACGACGCCTTCACCCTCATCCAAAACTGCAATGCGGCTGGGGTGCACCAGGCAGCATGGTGAGTGTGGGACAGAGTGGGCCACCTCCCTTGTCAGGGTTGGTTTAGCTGTGGGAGGTGCTGGCTGAGCCAGAGACCTGCGAGAGTTACGCTGAGGGGCAGGAAAAGTGATTCCCAGCACCCTCCCAGTGGTGTGCAGCAACCTCCTATCAGTAGGACAGCTGTGAGAGCCTGGCCTCCTCCTAGCCCCACATGTGGCGGGACACTTCTGTACTTGGAGCTGATGATTGCTACTGGCTGGGGTGTGTCCAGCTGGAGCGAGGCTGTCCTGGCCCTGCTGGCCTGGAGAAGCCTTGCTTTCCTACCCTAAGGACAAAGGTGTTTTTGGGAGCAGGCTGTTGGGGCAGAAAGGAAAGTGAAAGTACACAGCTCCTATCTTCAGCATTCCTTCCTTCCTCTTGCTCTGCTGTGAAGGCAAGAAGGTCCTGTCTGTTAGACTCTGACAAGATTGCTGCTCTCTTAGGGCCCCCTCATCTTGTCTCACAGCAACTCTGGCTGTCGTGGACTGGAAGTCCAGGCTGGCAGTTGGCTGCCCCTGCTCTAGTGCCCTTTCCTTTGGGTGTTGCTCTTCTGGGAAAAGGTTGTCTGCTCTGCCCAGTGCAGCCTGCTATGTCTGTTCTGGAGGTAGCGATACTAATGTTTTGTCAGAGGAAACATCTCTCCCACCTCTTGCCAGATACTACAGTTCCCCCCTCTGTGAATGTTTTATGTTGCTTGAAGTCTTACCTCAAAAGACTTCTTGCTTCCCAGGCTGGTGTCTGAGCTGATGTTGGTCTGTCCTGGGCAGGTCTCCACCACTGATATCAGTGCATCTCTCAGCAAGCAAGTTCTCGGAGCCCGCCACCCTCTCTGCAGGCATCGCCACCTTCCTGATGGGTGATACCCAGCCTGATGGCACTGCCACCACGAGCCAAAACACCACATCTTCTTCTGGGAGGGCCAGGGTCAAGTTCTTTAGAAGCCCTAGCAAAGAGCTTAAGCAGAAGCCAGCTAATGCTATTGAGTCATTCTTCCAAAAGGCAGCAGAACGACAGCCATCACAAGCAGCAGCAACCGGCTTGTCCACTGCTACCACTGCAGAGTCATCTGTGCCCAGCTCCCCAGAGCACCAGGAGAGAGCTGGTGTCAGACTTGCCTCTGTGCAGTGTGAGCTGGAGTCCCCTGTGAAGCAGAGTCCCAGCGGTGCCAGCCCTACTTCTCCTTACAGGAGGCTTCCTTGTGAGAAGCTGCCATCAGATGCTATACAAACACCCTCAACTCCACCCAGCTCCAGGACCCTTCTGAAATTACAGCCAACTGTGGAGGGAAATGAACAGAATTTGCCACCCTCTCCTGAGCTTGTCTCACTGCCTCCTGCCTCGCCAGGAGACCAGCAGTGCTGTGAAAAGTGTGGCCAGCTTGTGCTGGTGTGGGAATTCCCAGAGCACATGGACTACCACTTTGCTCTGGAGTTGCAAAGTTCCTTTCTGAAGCCCAGTGCTCCCATGGCTCCAGCAGCAGCTCCCACCCCACAGGCTGAAGGTTCCAGGTCTCCTACCAAGGCGAAGAACAAGCCCAAAACTCCAGCAGCATCTAGTGCAAAACGACCCAAAGAAGGTGTGACAAGAACTTTAGATTTTTTCTTTAAGCGCTTACCTCCATAACTCCCAGCCAAATGGGCTGTTTTTAAAGAATCAGTGCTTTTAAGGAATTGGTGCTTTTAAAGGATCAGTGTTTTCAAATAATTGGTGTTTTTAATCATGGTTAAAAGTTTTTATACTGCCTGTCAAGTTTTAATGCAGAAAAATCTAATAAATTATCTGTACCCCGCGTCTAAGAGGAACTGGAACTTGTGAATTGTGTATGATGTTAGATGTACCCAGTTTAGCTGGTGGCAGCTAGCTTGCCTCTGCCTGCTTGGTGCTCCTAGAAGCTGCGTTGTACTCTCACCTACATCTCTTGCCATAGGTATTTCCATAGCATCACTGCTCAGTAATTCTGTTCCTCCTGTAAAAGGCAGCCACTGTAAGCACAATGGCTTATCCCAGGGAATCTCCAGCCAAGCACAGGCTTGAATTCCTTTCCAGTCACTCAGTGCAAAACCTTCGCCTGGTGGTGGTTCTTCTCTGGCCTCAGCTGCAGGCCTCACCTTGCTATATAACTTATGTATGGTAGATTAGCCCTGTGGTTCCTTCTCCCCTCTCTACCTGGAAGACACTGATTTTTAATTCCCTCCCTTCTGCCCCCCAGGATTTTTGTTATAGATGGTTTCGCAATTTCCTCTGTGTAGCAGTCTATTTTGTGATGCTTATCACCAGCTCAGGAGCACACAAGACTACTCCTGTCATATTATTTGAGGAAGCAGTAGCTGCACAGGCTTACGTTTTGGTGGGCTTTTGGAAATCTTGGTTTTAATTCCTAATAGTTGCTATTGACACATAAACAGTTCTACTGCTAGAGTCCCCATGGAAGGGATAGAAAACATGCCAGAGTCACATAGCCCGCTGTGAAAGCTCTTCTCTGCCAAAGAAAGAGCATATAACCACATTTTCTTCCTTCCCAGACTCTTGAGTGATACTAGATGCAACTTGTTGACAGGTACCTGTTGTGACTGTGCTCTGCCAAGTGACTCGTTCCGCTCTCTGGGCCACAGTTCACATCCCAGTGGCTGCCCCAGCGCCCCACAAATTGCAACAGCCAACAAAGCAGAACCTTGTGGAAGGGACAAGCAGGCAATGAGAGAGGGTGAGACAGGCTCCAGGGCAAGGGTGGTGCTTGCCCTCAGCTGCCTGGCAGGGCTCAGCTCTGTGCTACACCACAAGCTGACTGGAGCCCGCCAGAAGTACTGCTGCCAAAAATTTGAACTTGGCTCCTAGGGAAGGGGGAAGGAACGTGCCACGTCAAGGCAGCAGTGGGTGGGGTTAGGAAACACACATTGCAGGGAGTTTCATCAGCTGCAGGCTTCCCTTGCCTCTGGGAAGGGGGGAAGAGAGCCTTTGAGGCAGCAGATAATGATGCAAACTGCAGCTCTGTTTGCATGTGCTGTTTTCTGGTCTGTACCATCCTAATTCCAGCTGTTGAGCTGCTCTCTCTTTCCCTCTGACAGCCTGTGCTGGGAAGCTGCTACATTACTGGGGGAGGGGTGGGGTGTGTCTAATACTTGACAACATAATTGTGAGATTTCAAGAAGCACAAGAAGCTCATTCTGGTGCATGCAGCTCTGCTCGTAATCAGCAGAGGAAGGAATTAAGGAGTCACTCCCACTAATGACAGTCCTAACATTGCAAAGTGACAAGTTCCCCTAAGTCCCCACATAAAGAGAAACAGCAACCAGTCTAGCAAGATTGCCTCATGCTCCTGTGACAGTGGCACGTCTCATTTCCCAAGCGTCTGGCAGGACTGGACTCTGCAGATGCCACTACCTGGCACAAAAACAAGTTTAGAAGAGGCAAATCCCTTCAGTGACACAAGTACCCTCCACAGGGAAGCCTTCCTGCCTCTGCTTTGTCCCAAGGGAACAACCTGTTCTCATGGAGAGAAGGCAGTCACAAACCCCTTGATAAGGTCGAAGCTATTTTAAAAACAAACCACCCAGGTTAGACGTGTGCCCTAGAAAGCATCTCTTTAATTAGGCTCGGGGGGGGGGGGGAATTTGTGACTGCGAGGAAGCTCTCACCACAGCCGGTTCCGCCCACAACAGCCCGAAGTGCTGTGCTCAGGGTGACGTGGCTGCCTGTCACCTCAGGCTGCACGCCCAGGCTTACTCAGATAAGCCGGGAGCGCAGGGTTGTAAACATCGGCGCGCGTGCATTCCTTCCACTCCATGGAGTGGTATTTTTAGGACCGAATGCAGGAAGCTTAGGAACGGCTGAAGGGTAGCCATCTCCCAACTGTGATTCAGCTCCAAGGGCAGCAGGGTAAGGGCCCAGCTCCTCCCTCACTTATTGTACAACTCCGACAGCAAGCTCAATAAAACATCTTTATTCTGTACATTTATATATAGATGCTCGGGGAACAGGGACAACCCCCAGCATTAGAAAAATTCAAGACAACAAAACAGCAATTATGAAGAGCATGGCACCAAGAACAGTCATGCCACAGATGGCAGGGATGAGGTGAGACCAGCCATGGGCTGTTTCAGAAAAGGTCACAGCACCCCATGCCCACTTTGGAGCACAAAACACCAGGGCTGCTGCAAAGAGCTGGAGCTCGCCCCCCATACTCCCCAGTAGCATTCTTTGTGACCAACTAGCACCAAAGGGAAGACTGCTGGCAGCTGGGGCCTGCAGGCATTGGTGAAAAGACACTGTCACTGGAATACCCAGCCCACTGCCAGGATGGGAAAAAAGGCATCCTTCTTGGGCAGTGATCTTGAGCCAGCAGCTCCTTTCTCACCGCTGGGCTGACGGGGTTGCAGCAGAGTTTTCAGCTGGATCAGTGCTTCCTCCATGGGACAGGTCACTCCTGAGCTGCCTTCCCTTCATGGATACCACCATTTCACCGGCTTCCCCACACCTCAGCAGGCTCTTCGCAGGGTGCAGTCACCCCCTCCTCGCCCGCCAGAGCCCTTCCCAGTGCAAAGTGCGGCTCTGTGATGCCTACAGATCTGCACAGCCCCACAGGCACTGCCTGTGCCAGCAGCACAGCAGAACTTGCTCTCAGGATGGCAGAAGGGCTCTTTGGGTGTCCAAGTGCTATCACAGGCCCCTGCCCTTCTCTTCGGTCAGGACTAGCAGGCCACCACGCCATGCAGCAGGGCTGGCTGAAGACCTGTTGCTCGCAGCAGACACATTTGGTCTAGCAGTCAACAATAAAACCAAAAGCCTATGTACAACTTTACAGACCTTGTTGCATCCTCCAGGCTACACAGGAGAGCTGCATAAGGGAGCTGGAGACAAATGTGCTCCACTCTATGCACAGAGTCCTTGCTGGCCACATCAGTTTTCCTCTGACAACAAACCGCAGTGGCAAGGGAAAGAAAGGAATCCTTCCTCCAGGAGAAACAAAAATATAATCCTGCCACTGTCAAATCACATCTAAACAACAGAAGTCACCTGGTTTTGGGTAGGTAATGCAGCCTGTCCTCCTCACACATTAAGGCAAGCGTGTGGGGAGCAAGCTGGGCTGGGAACAGCCAGCTGAACATCCATGGAACAACCTGCTCACACCAGCACAGGCCCAGGCCCTGCTCTGCTCCACAGAACGGCCTCCCGTTCAGCTGCTGCAAGGAACAGATGCAAATACAAACTCTTTCTTCGTGACATTACGTCAGGAGGCTGTGCCGCTCAGAGCAGCCTCAGTTTCCTGGGAGTCAGTAAGCGGGATGCTGAAGAAATGTGTACACGCGAGTGAGGAACATGACATTTGTCCAACAGTAAGACACTCGGATTGGAATAACGCAAAACCAACACACAATTGGACACACAGCAGATTAAAGCCAACCAAGATTCAAACAGTTAAAAAGCATCCTGAATGCATTCTGAGAGGTTCAGCCAAGTCTCTGCAGTAGGCAGCATGGCCTCTTCCATCCCTTGCCCAGAAGGATGTGCTGCAGGATGACTTGGGAGAAGACTGTTATCAACCCAGTGCTCAGAGAGCAGAAATCGGACCAAATCTTGTGTCAGAGATGGCAAAAAATGTCCCTTCACTGCTCATCTTCAAGGGCTCTGCTCCTCCCAACCAGCAATTTTCAAACAGTAAACAAAGCCAGAACTTGCCTGCCCAGGTCTGCAGGTGCCTCTGATCTATTCTGAAGGAGGGCAGGGTAATGAGAGCTGCAGGCGATCTGGAGAACATGCTTAACTTGCCCCATGTACGGTATTGAATGTGAGAGACTCTCCCAGGCTCCATCTCACAGTGCAGAGGGACATCCACGCTAGAATGGGACAGCAGCAGCTCCAGGCATCGCTCAGAAAGCCACAGGAGCTCCCATCCTTCTCCCCAGGTGCTGGTGAGTGGAGATTTCTCTGACCTACTGGTAGTCAGAAGCTCAGCTGTCCAGGTCCCAGGGACTCCTCCAGGCCGTTTTCTTTGGTGGTGATGGCTTGGAGGTCAGTGACATGCCCAATACCTTTGGTGACTCCTTCACGGAAAAGCAGTTTGGCTCCTATCTTCAAGTATTCAGGATGCTTGATGAACCTGAAACAGACCACTGCCTTCTCTCCTGTCCGCAGCTTGTCCTGAAAAGAAAAACGGGAGAGCTTAGACCTACCTCCCAAACCAATGCACGCAGGAGAGATGCATGTGGATGGTAACATGAAGCAAATGAGCAGGTTGCTTTCCTCAGACTGCATGGCTTGAGCCCTTCCCATTACTGTATGCATATGGAGAGACAGGAAGACACAAGCTCTGGAGAGTTCACCTCTCTTCATAGTCTTGCTTTAGTTCACCATGCTGTTTGTTTTGTGGGAGGGAATTCTTTAACGTGTTGGAAGGAAAAGCAACCAAAGGGGCAGGATAAAGGGATGGAGTGTGCTCCTAGGAAGAGACACAGCTACTCAAAATAACAATAGCCCCTAGCTTTACTACAGGATATGGTGGAATCCCAACAAAGCCCACAAGGCAGGTTCATTTTCCTCCCCTTCCTTCTCATTGCCTACCTTTCCGTGGATCTTCTCTACAATAGCTGTCTGTCGCACATTCCCCACATGCACCGTCACCTGAAACCCCTTCCGGAAAGTTGTGGCATGGAACAACAGCACGATCTCGGCTTCAAACACTGAGCAGATGGTGGGGTTCATTTCTGGGCTCACCATTACCATGCCCTGCAGAACAACCCAAGGCTCAGACTAGGAAGGGCCAGTCCCCTTGCTTCTGACCAGCCCGCAAACCCACAAACACATCTCCACTCTGTGACTGGGGCTTGCTTCCCATCCTCAGCCTACTTTGTAACTTGGCCATTTCTTCCCCTTCCAGCAAGCTTCCTGCAAACATCTCTACTTCACTCCCACCCTGCCAGTGGGGGATCTCCAGGGAAGCCTCCAGTGCTGCCCACTGGACCAGTGAACAACCTGGCGACAGCAGTACTCACCTTGCGCAGCAGGGAGCGGTCGAAGGGCCCGAGGGCCAGAGTGGCTGCCTGCCCAGCCCGCAGCACGCGGCAGGCAGAGCGGTTCCGTTGGATACTGCACACCTTCAGCCGGAGGAACTTCCCGTCGTCGGTGGGACCAACCACCAAGTTCTCCCCTTCTCGGCAGATCCCACTGCCCAGGGCAGAAGAGCAGGACACAGTTCATCAGGAGACAAGAAAGACATTTCACCCTCCAAGATCAACCTGCACAAATTCCCCGGGGCCAATGAGGTGAGTACCTTTGGACTATTATCCGGGACCAACTAACAGGGATACAAAGGCTGGTGACAACAGGGATTTCTTACAGCAGGAGGGAAAGCCACATTATCACTCCCAAGAATCCCAGGTATAGACAGGGGCCATTCCATCCCCAGTGCTCTGCCACACTGCACTGTTTCTGGTGGAGAGACTTCAGGTGATGCCTCTTCTGTGTGGATGTGCTGGTAGCTGAACTGCTCTGACTGCCCCCGGGACACAGAGAGACAGCTGCCTTTTCATGAGGAAGCATACAATTAACCCCTGCTGGAATGGGAGGATTTGCCCTCTACGTTCCCTCCCCCTGCTTGATGAAGGAGGAAAGCAATGCCTTGGGATCGTGGCTAACCTCTGCCAACTCTGGATTCCTGGATGCCTTCCTTCAGCATGCAACACAACACATTCCTAATCCAGCAACATTCGGGCAGACTCTCTGCTTGCCACCATGTGACCAATGGTCTCCTCCTGGCACCTCCCAGCACCCTGTAATGGTCTACCCTCGCTTGGCTCAGCCACCTGGCAGCAGTCAGGACTGGGCCTCACACAGCTTCCACTTCTGCAGCGGGGGACTCTACCCTTGAGGGAACTCCAGCAACCATTCACATCCACACTTGTCTGCCTGGCCTCACTTACCTCGACAGAGTTCCTCCCACAACAGTCCCCACCTCTGGCACAGTATAAATTTCATCAACCTGCAGCAAGGCAATAAAAATAAGCTGCTCAGACAGACAGCGGTGAAACAGCACTCCAGAAATGAGGACAAGGTGCCTGCCCCTTGTGTGAAGGAGGTGAGCTCTCTGCTCGTCATCAGACACCATCTAGGAGCTTAATCACTACCCTCCTATTAGAGGAATATCTGCCTTTTAAGTGGCTACCAGAGAAACAATCTTATCCCTGAGACACATAGCCCTTGGTTAGGACACAGCCCAGCCTACCACATTTTTCTCAAGGACTGAGTCCTTTCCTTAATGTCTTCCAGTAGTCCAGGAGTTCACCACATCTCTACCCATAGTGTCCAGATTCCCCAGAAGTTTCTCCCATGGCACAGCAATGACTGGAGTATCAGAAACTCCCCTTACGCACCTGAAATTCTGTAAGTTGCTGCATTAATTCTTCCTGCTCTTTACTGTTGGTTAGTGGAGGGAGGATGTTGAGGAAGACTTTTAAGAGATCCAGGTTCTCCCCAGAAACACTGGATAGCGTGAAGATTGGGGTGATGCTGTCAGACACAAATAGACAGAAATAAGCAGAAGGCCGGAGTGAAGCTGCAGAAGGTTTCTGGGATTCTGAATCTACTGAGATCAGCAGGAGGACAGAGACTACAGCGATAAGTGGCTAAAACAGGAGGGCTAGGTACAGCTTTCCAGTAATCCTTGCCTCAACAGTTGGTTGAGGCACCAATCCCCTGCCAGCCCACACTTCTGTCATGCAGAAGTAACTCCAGAGCAGCCTTGGGCACCTTCTGCTCCCAGAGCCCAGGAAAAGGTCTGGGAGGGGAAAATGCCTTCTTGGGGAATGCAAAGGTAGGAAACTTGATGAGGAGCTGAGATTTTCAAGATCTGGTCAACTCCCCTGTGGTCACCCTTCCCAGCTCCACCATGGCAGCCCAGTCTGAATTGCCTGCTCCCAGAAGAAGAAAGGAATGGTGCCTTACTTGGGAGATTGTGCAAACTGTTGTGCTGCTGTAACAGCGTCGTCATCCGAGTTCACAAGCAGGGGGAGCTTGTTGCAGCCTGGCTGCTTCAGGATTCGCTCCAGCTGCTTCACTGTCCGTTCCACGGTGGCTTTTGAACACAAGTCAACTTTGCTGACGACAATGAAGAAGGGGACCTTGAGGGCCATGGCCAAGCCCAAGTGCTCTCGCGTTGTGCCCGCTGCAGGAGACAAGCAGCAGCAGTCATCACTGTTGCTTTGTTTATGTCACGGCTACATTTCCTGGCCACCCCACAGGCCCGCTCTAGAGATTTCCCTGTAACTGTGTAGTCCACCAGGCAAAGAAAAAGCAAAATCACTCTTTTAAACAAAACCAAACATTAGTCTAGAAAAATAAAAACCACGAAGAATTTTTGCGATTGATCTGTTTGTTTTAAAAAGATGCAGCAGTTTTCATTCTTGGGCTAGAGTTTGCCAAAAAACAGCCACAAAAATGTCAAAGATAGATGTGGGAGAACTCCAGCTGCCTTTCTACAAGGCTGCAGGATTCAGCACCCCTAAGTATATGTCAAAGTTGTTTTCTTTTCTGACAAACATAGCCCCAAATTCCAAAAAAAGCCTCCTTGTCCAGGGTACAGCTTAATGTGGTCTATAGCTGGTAAAAGGATCCCAGCTCTACTCCCCTCCCAGGCTTACACAGACTGGCTTACAAGAAATCAGTAAAGGTTTCCAGACTAATGATTTCTTCTGACAACTGTTTGCAGCAAACAAGGACCCACCTCCCCCAATCTCCATTTCTCTCCACACATTGCTGTTCATCCATACAGGCAGGGCAACACTCACCAATGCCAGTGTTGGCACTAACCACCAGCATGGCAAAGTCTGGGCAGTAGCTGGTGAGGCCAAAGATGGTTGTTTTCAGATACTTGTGGTGGCCAGCCAGGTCAATGAAAGTGATCATTTTGGAAGAACTTTCACAGATCTCTTCTGCTGTCCTGGAGTCACTGTAATTTACCACCTGAGGAACACAGGGAGTTGGTGAGAGAGCCAGCCCCAGCAGGGAAGTGAAGAAAACCTAGCTCTTTGACCCACCACTTTGATCTCAGAATCAGTAAGGAGAGATCATCCACCACGGGTGTAAGATACAATGTCTGTTGCAAATTGACAAGTAGCACTGAGGTTCAACCTAAGGGACACGGAGCTGTGCCACCTCTCTTCTCTCATGTCCCACTCACAGCTGTAATAGAAGGGTAGCACTATTCTCTTCCAGCTTTCTGAGTTCAGCAGCCCACTCCCCTCACCTCTCCTTTGCTGTTGAAGCCAAGGATCTCAAAGCTGATGCTTGACGTTCTTCCTGACTGGATTTCATGGAGATGCCGGAAGAGGTTGAGGCGTGCCCTGCCCCGCCCATTGTCCAGCTCTCCTTGCGTTAGGACACCCAACAGTGTTGACTTCCCTGAGTCCACATTCCCCAGCACAGCTACTCGAAGGTCTAAGAACTACAGGAAAAAGAAGAGAGAAATCACAAAACTTTACCACTGCTCTGCTGAGTGGGCATGAGGACTATATGGCAGCGGAGATACACCTCAGAGAGCATCCCTAGATGAGGGACACTGCGCAGCGTAATCTTGCTCAGATTCTGCCCTTGCTCCCAGCAAACCACTGCCCAGCAGATGTGATACACTCTCTAGAGCTGTGATGTGACACACCAGCCTTTGATATCACATAAAAGGCCATTTGCTGCAGCAGGACCTCTAAATCCTTCCTTTTTTGCACACTGGCCTGCATCAGAACCACTGCCATAAAAGTGAAATAATTTTTCACCTCTGATACAGGCAGTCTCTCCCACTGATATCTGCCTCAACCACAGTCTTGGAGATAAGAAGTGTTATCATCAAGCCTCCCTCCGGCAGCTCTTTAAAGCTGATGGGCCAATGTATGACAAAGTGCCTCTAGGGTTTGGGCTCCCATCCCAAAAGGAAGCTGACGGTATAAAGCCTCTAAGTTTCCAGCAGGAGAGGATGTCCAAGTCATAGGTCCCTACCTGCTGGTTGTCAGGCACCTTTCGGACAAGCACCTCCGTTATCTTCCTTGGAACATCACTGTCATAATCGACCTCCCTCTCCCGCAGCACCGTAATGTCAGCCCCAACCCTGCCATGAAAACAAAAGGAAGGAGTGAGACACACTTGTACTTGACAGATCTTGCACCTTTACAATAACAGCTGACAAAGAGAGTGGGATAAAAGCTGGTAATAGCAGGCAAGGAACCTCAAGCTTCCGGACAAAAGCCCTATAACCTCCTTCATGTTTCCAGAGCCTTATGACTGAAGGAATTCCAGTCATACAGGGTTTTTTTAGAGTGGAGCCACTGGCCACTGAGTGGACTCCCAGGGCCGAGCCCCTCTGCTGGAGGCTGTTGATGCTTGTGGGCCCTGCAGACAGAAAGGAACACATACTTCTCTGCCATGCGGCGCAGGGTCTTGAGCGAGGCACGCATCTCCTCCTCTGAGAGGCCCACCAGCAGCCCGTTGTCCTCCACGCCGATCTGATAGACGGCCTCACCGCGGCCCTCCTGCAGTCGCCACTTCATCTGCGTCACCAGATGCTCAAAGCGGTACTGCGAGGGGTTCACCAGCTTCAGCTGTTCAACAGAGGGGTAGTTCTAGTCACAGCCTGGATGCAGAGGGAATCTAATTGCCCAAACCAGCAACTCCCAATACTGTGAAGCAATGCTCCCAATTCTGACCCATCTCTAGAAAGCACAGCCTGTGTTACTGTCTGCACAGAAGCCATGGTACTGGTGAAAAAGGGTTTCACAAAGGTACACACATGTGTTAGAAGAAGTTTTCTGCACTGTGATAAAGGGATCTGGACCCTGCCTGCTGTGGGGGTAAAGGCAGCACTCTGGGACCCATCTGTGACACAGGAGCCAAGTCAGTGCAAATGAGAGCAGCCACAAGGAAGTGACAAATCATTATGAGGGACACCTGCAGCTCTCCTAAAACATGAAGATTTCAGGAAAAACATAGTGGGCCTGATCTTCTAAAACAGATTACTAAAAAGGAGTATTGAGATCAAACTCTTCAAGCTCAGCATACTGGGTATTGCTGGGCACAGAGACGCAGAAGACGACTTGTAGTTCCTTAGTACAGTGTCCACTTTTCTGTCCCCTCCTTGCCCATGTTACCCATAGGCTGTCTTTGGTGAAGTTACTCACAGCAAAATAACCCTCTGGGAGGAAGACCTCTTTCTGCAACCTCAAAATGACTCACCTTGTACTCGATGTTCCCATCTTCTGCCTAGTCAGAGAATGAAACAAGACAGAAGAGTTAGATGCTGTGCCATGAGGACTTCATTCTATAGGCACCAGCTGCCCAGATATTCTGCAGCTGGCACTGAGGATTTCAGAGAGAGGAGACAGTGGTAGAAAGAGACTGTGTTAGCTCCACCCTCTTCTGACATTCCTTTTTAAACTCAACTAGAACTTCCCTTATGGTTTGTTTTTGCTGTTTGCATCCCACATCATGAACACCAGAAGACAAAACTAGAGTGGAACACAGGGGGAATATTGTCAGGGTAGAGGGGATTTTTTTTTTTTTTTTTTTTTACTGACAGCAAAGAATAGGGCTAGCCTAACAGTCACACAGAGAGAGAGTTTCAGTTTCAAAAAGGCACAGGCCAGCATATGATTTAAGGTCTCCCCCCTCACCCATCCATGACCCACAAAGTGCCACTGACAGCATCCCACTCCCACCCTATCCAGCAGCGTCTATTCACCCAATGTGCACAGAAATAGGAGAATGGGAACAAAAGTCACTGACTCCTCTCCTGCACACTGATATCCTCCCTCACTCAGTTTTTCACTGACTCCTTTACATATCCTTGTGTATCTTCTCTCTACAAAAAAGGACTACGGACATAAGGAAGCAAGCTAATGATTTCTTTGAAGTACAGAAAGTAGTCACTGGCCTGGCAGTTCTGGAGTATCAGAGTTTATTGGGTCTGTCTGTATGCAATGTGCTCACAAAAACTTTCCCAGGAAGGGCTGAAGCCTGACTGGATTGTTACAGAAAGGCCCAGGTACTCCTCAAGTTCACTCCAACCACAACACACTCCAACTATCCAAAGACGATGTCTAGCCAATATTGAAGTAATTTTCCCATTGATTGGGTATAAGGGAAGGGGCTGGAGGAAGGGCTGGAGCCTGAAGGAAGCCACGTACTTAGTCAGACTAAATGGAGCTGGCAACAGTAAGCACTTCCTTTTCCTCTGGATACCTATTTGCATGTGTTTGCAGAGGGCAGTAGCCCTCTCCTTGCCTTCTAGCTCAGCTCCTAACCACAGCGGTGCTTATGGTGGCAAAAGGCCAACAGAAGTTCTCAATTGTCAGCTCAGTCTCAGGCAGCAGAGCTATGCAATGAGAAAAGGGTACTTGTGGAAGGTTTTCCTCTCTTACCAGCTTTCCAGTTCTAAGAAAAACACAATTCACATACTACACTGTCGTATAAATAAGGAGGTGGGTCTCCTTCAAGGCTGCTGAAGAACAGAAAAGCAACAAGCCTAGACTTGCTGGGGCACACACTGAAAGGATAGCCAGGGACAGGAAGCTGCGCTGAAACCACAGGGGACTGTCCAGCCTCCAGCTGAAAGGAACAAGAACTAAACTGTGGCTGCAGGGCACAGTCCTGCCCATGGAGAAGATCTAACAGTAGCAAAGCGCCGTTTTCCCTTCTTACCAAGCGTCACAGACTTGCCTTGTGGAAGGACTGCTCCCTCCCAGCACAGGCTCTTATACATTTTGCAGAAAGCTCACTGACTGGGGCTGAGCAATGGAGTCTGGGGTCACATAACTCTCTCCACAATGTCAGTCCTATTAGTTCGGTGCCAGCTCCCTCAGCGAACCACACACCCACCTACGATCCATGCACCTTTTCCTGCTTCAAGAGGCAAGTGCCTCACACCCTGTCAGTACCACCTGCATCCCCACATGAGAAAAGAGTTGTCAAATTAACTAGGGATTCACTAAAACCTGCTGAGTTTGGCAGCTGGAAAGGGATTTAGACCCACAGATCATTCCCTCAGGGAGAAACGTGAGCGGGATGCTCGGGACTATGAGGCGCGCAAAGCTTTATTTCCGAAGCTGTGTCGTTCCCAGGCAGCAAAGCACCCACAGACGGACGCCAGGCAGTGGGACACTACTCGCGGACAGGGTCTGGCGGACGCCGCGGGGAACTCGCTGTCACCGGAGGCACAAGCACAGCGCGCAGGAGAGACCGAGGCAGGAGGGCACACAGTTCCCGGGGCTCCTGCCAAGGGTGCTGCCGGCCCGACCCCCGCACGGCCCCGCACCAGCACCTCCAGCCTGACCCGCGACCGAACCTGCGGGGCCCGGGCACCGACCAGCCCGGGGGGTGTGTGGGGGCACCATCCCTCCGCCCCGGGGCCCGACCCCGCTCCCTCCGCGGCTGACGGGACGCGGCGGCGTCGGAGCTCACCTCGGGCGGCAGGTACGGCGGGTTGTTGGCCTTGCCCCCCCGGCTCCGCCCGTTCTTCTTCTTCGCCTTCGAGCTGCCGCCGCCACCGCCGGGCGCGGTCCCCCCGCGCCCGCGCAGCGCCCCGCCTGCCCCGCCGCCCGCCGGCCGGCAGCAGCCCCCGAACAGCTCCGACACCCGCGAATCCATGGCGGCCAGCGCGGCCCCGCCGCCCCGGTGCGGCGCCCGCTCCGCTCCGCTCCCCGCCCGGCCCCGCCGCCCCGGCGTCACCGACCGCCGCGCGGCGCCCCGGGAAAGCGAGTCCCGCCCGCCTACAATACTGAGAACGCGCCGCGCGCCGCCCGCTCCAAACTACAGCTCCCAGCGTGCCCCGCGGCGCGACCCGGTCGCTGCCGTACGGGCTACCTCCGCGGGGGCGCATGGGAGTTGGAGTCTGAGGGAAGGCGCGCCGCCTCCCGGCCACGGCGGGCAAAGCGCAGGATGCCTCCGCTCCCCGGGTCCTACCCGACGGGGCCCGTCGGCGGGTTTCCCTCTTGGCACTGCGGAGCCCCGGGTTCCCTGTTCATTGACAGCGAAGGTCGGCACCCGACCCAGCTACCATCGGGACACTGGTGCTTTTTCGAACCAGTGTGCCATCGGAGATGCCTCATGACTACGCAGAGGCAGCAGCTCGGTGCGAAGCAATTATTATGCTCCTACTGGGGGCGGCGAGAACAGCAAAATACCCTCCTGCTGTGCGCCGCACCTCCTCACCGAGTGTTTTCCCAGTTTCCAGTTCCCCTGCCACCGCGCCTGCTCTTCCTCCGCCGCATCCGCTGGGGCGGGCGGCGCTGGGTCAGCTTTTGTACATCTGCCACACTCTGTGGCGCTGTCAACAGGCAGCCAAGGTCCCTGTACACCAGCCGGGGAGCTGCTCCTCCCGCAGCCCGCTGCGAGCGGCGCCCGCCCGCCCCTCGCCGTGTGCTGAGGCGGCAACCAATGGGGCAGTAGGCGCAATGTTTCCAAACACGGCGCTCCCTGCGCGCTCCCCGCCTCCCCGCGGCGCGGCGAAGGAAGTTCCTCCGCAAGGGCTGCCGGGGAGGGGGCGGATGCCAGCAGAGCGGCTCCTGGGAGTCCCCCGGACAGCGCTGCCGCCGCTCCGGGCACCGCCTCAGCCGGGCAGCCCCGGGGCCCGGGGCGGGACCGCGGCCGGCGGGGCGGGGCCAGCCCGGTCGGTCACGCTCACCCCGGGGGCGGGGCTCCAACCAGGGCCCCGCCTCCTGCCGCGCGCCCGCTCGCGCCGCCACCCCGCTCTCTACCAATCGCTGCGCCTCCTCGCCCACGCGCCATTCCCGTGAGCCCCCGCGGCGGCCGCGGCATTTAAAGCCGGCGCGGCCGTTGGCCCGGGCGTGGTTGCGGTTCTTGCTCCGTTGTCGCTGCCGGATCGCGGGATGAGGCCTCGGCGGAGCACGTCGGTGCCCGGCACCCCCTCGGTGTCCGTGGCGTTCCCGGGCACCGTGCGCCGGGGTAGCGGCTGCCGCTTCACCTGCGAGCTCCTCAAGCACGTGCTGCACCAGCGGAACCAGCTCCCGCTGCCCTACGAGCAGCTCGCCTACTTCTGCCGGCGGGCGGCACAGGTGAGGCGGCCCCTGGGCTGGGAGGTCGGCGGGGTGGCCGTGGCGCTGGGGTTCTGCCAGTGAGCTCCTGGTCGCACGCTATCGTGTGTCGGTGGGTATGAAGCCAAGTGTTCGTTGTAGCTGTGTCCCTAAACGTTACATCTTCCTCGGGGGGGGGCGGGGGGTGTAAAAAAAAAAAAGGCAAGGGCAACGTTAAGGTCAGGCTGTTGCAAGTCTCGGCAAGTTGCTCTCTGTTGCTTGTTAACGCGGCTCTGTGCTGAAGGCATGTCGCTACTTTGGCTGATCTTTGAAAGACGGGGCTTCTGTTTCTTGTGGGAATTTATCTCTACTGTGATTTGGGTTCAAACTGAGTGTTTGTCAAATAGGGTGCGCTTTTGTGTTCCTCTTGCGTCTCTGATTGTCTGTGTGAGTACCTATAGTTCTCATAAGGACCACACCCCCCTTGTTCCTCGTGGAATGGGCCGTGCTTTCTGCAGAGCATATTGGGACTAATACATCCTTACAACTAAAAGTACTAACCTGTTTGTTTGTTTTCCAGAATGGAGATGGAATTGAGAAGCCACCCTCCGTGGGCCTGGGAAGCAGCAAGTGCCAGCAGGTGCTAATGGAGCTGGAGGGATTGTTCCAGCATCTGGAAGTCATGTTTAGTTTGACGCTGGTTCCTAGGGTCCTCTTCCTACTTGGAGGAAATGTCATGAACCCCAAGGAGCTCTATGAGCTGAACTTGGAAGGGATCTGCGAGGGCAGTGCTGAGGAGAGCCTCCAGACGGCCCCCTGTGTTCGCCAGCTCTTTCACAGCCTGTTCGTAGCAGACATCTTCAGTGAACTGAAGGCTCTCCCTATCACAGGCACGCTCGTCCTGGTCCAGGGCCACCGGGACTGCGGTGTTGAGTGGTTCCGGCCCAAGCTGAACTACAAAGTGCCAACACGAGGGAGGAAGCTGACTGTTAGATTGTCCTGTGATGGAGACCCCCACCCGAGTGCCTCACCTACACAGCACACAGCGCCTGAGTGGGAGGACTACATCTGGTTCCAAGCACCAGTGACCCTCAAAGGCTTTAGTGAATGACTGGGATCTATAGATGTCCAACTGGAATATTAATTACCCTGTGTTAAGTGTTAATTTTATCCAGTGTAACCATGTATCTTTTTCTGATTTTTTTTTTTCTCCAGGGCATTTATTGTCTTCCTGTAGCTTGGCTGCACTCATCTTTTGTCACTTCCTGACTTCTTGTTGAAGGCAAATCCCCTTTAAGGCAAAGGTGCAGTGATTTCTGAGGGACTTGAGCTGTGGCAGAGCAGATGAATTAGTGTGTTGGGATGCACCCTGCTGTGTGCTTAGGAGCAGCTGCAACTATTGGTATCCCCTCAGCTGTTGTGGTGCCCACCCCACTTGAGCAATCAAGTTATTATCCATCTATTTGATAAAATTAGACTTCTACACACCTCGGTTTCAGTTCCTTAACGTTCCAAAGAGTGAGATTTCTCAGTGGATGGGAGATCTTGTACCTAGTGCTGCTCTGTACTGGAGATGGAAAGAGCTTGACCAGTTCTGTGGAGGCAGGGTAGCAATAAGCAATTTTATTTTTTTTTAAAACCTTAGTCCAGCAGCCCTGACAATCAGTTAAATATACAGATAGAATTAAAAGTAAGCAGTTTTTGCTAACCCTCTTCAGAAAAGGAGTTCTGCCTCAATATTGTAACTTATTCTCACTAAACGACAAAGTAAGCAAGTTTCTTGCTTACTTTTATCTCTTATAAGTCTTGAACCTAAACTTTTCTGGAATGTGTAGAAGTCAGGGGACTGTGATGAAGTTCAGCACTATCTTTATCTGCCAAATTCCTGTTGTGAGTCATATTGTATCACTTGGAAGCAGATTTGAGCCTGTTCTGAGCTGTTCTCTAGTGCACAACAGGACAGGATGTGTTATAGAATTAGGAGGAACTTGATTTGATATTTTTGAGCTTGGAGAACACTAGGAGTGGTGTCTCTGCCATATTATCCATTAACAACTGTTTACAGTGTGCAGTAGCTGCTAAAACTTGTTCTAGGGGAGAAACTGCTAGAATGAAGAAAGCTGCCTTTGTGCAGCGCCCACTTGAATATGTAATCACAGATTTTTTTGAATGAAATATCACTTGAATGTGTGTTTGTGCTCAAGAGATTAAAACCCTTTACACTTCCACCAAAGCTGCTTGTAATACATATTTAAGAATGCTAGTGCCCAAGTATTTAAAACTTTTGAACACAAGCCTTAGCCAGTTTTTTCTCACCTCTCTGTCCCAAATGAATGCAATGTTACTGCAATAAACTGTTTACATATTTTGTTATACTTGAACTATGAATTCAGCAATGATATGGTGCTGGGAATGAAAGAACACAAGGTGCTTTGGGTTTTTTTTTACTATTATTTTTATTTGATTGGTTGTATTTTTCTTGGTTTTCTCCTTATAAAAATCTTTACAATGCAATTAACAAGTCTAGTACTGAAATTATTGTCAAAATAAAGTGTTTGTTTCTATATGTGATTACATTGGATTTAGTTAATCCTTCAAAACAAAGGTTCTGCTGGTGCCAGAACAACTTGCTTCCATTCTATGCGTATATTTAAACTGCAGGTTTACAGCTGTTCCACTTTTCTGACAAACTGCATAATGTCTTGTGCCAGAAGCTTTGGTTCCTCAAAGGCAGCAAAATGCCCTCCACGTGGCATGTAAGAGTAAGTGATGATGTTCTTGTAGACATCCTTTGCCCAGATATGTGGTATATGAACTATCTCCTGTGGAAAAGCTGCAATCCCTGTGGGAACATGTACACCAATCCTAGAAGACACAAGTTTATTGCATTTTTGAAACAAGTCTCAGGGAAAGTCTATGAAAACTTTCTGACTGGTAACTGCCACAGTTTCACCTCAGCAGCACACCCTGTGGCCTGCACTCTGCTGAAGGGCTTCGCTTCTATTTGGATATCCTTGAGTATAAGCATGTTATACCTGAAACTGTGTAGAGCCAACTTTGCACACAGTTCGAGCCTGAAACGTTTCAGATCTCTGAGCTTAGCTTGTTCTGTAATTTTGTGTTATATGACAAGATGCTGCACCTGTCTGTGAAAGTCAGAAATGAACCAGCTCACATTTGATTTAAACTTGTGGTACCAAATGTGCAACAAATGACTCTCTGGAGAGGGAAGGTAGACTGGTTCAGTCACAAAGAAAAACACTCCTTCATTTGTTTGTATGATCTGTTGCTTGGAGAAATCCACTCAGCAATATTTTTCTGGTCAGTCATCTTAAAATACCAGCTGTTGGGAGGTGCTTGGTTTCAAGTACTGTTCTCCAAAATCCTTCCCCAAGTTTGTGCTTAACTGCTGTAGTTCTTAGTTTACCCTCCAGCAAGCCATATCCTTCCTAATTCAGTTTAAACTTCTCTCTTGGATATGCCCATGATTTTCTGTTTTGTTTTTACTGAACTGAGTTACAGATTACATTTGTTTGGTGAAGAAGTATATAGACCTGTATTTTGAACACAAGACTGCATTTGATGCTTCGACAAGTATGTATTGTCTTGGTTGCAAGCCACCTTGTGTGAGTTATGGGTTCAAAAGAAAAGTGACCCTTAACTATATTCATCAAAAGATAATAAGAACTTTGATTTTTTTTTTCTGAGTTAGATTTGCTGTTGTAAGTGATTTAAATGTTTATACAGGCAAATGTTTCCAATTCATTTGCAAATCTGTCTTGCACCTACCACTTCATTACCTGTTACGAGCAGCTTGAAAAGGGTCCTTGGAAAAGTTCTCCTTGTAGAATCGCATTGAGGACACAATGGAGGATGTCACCCAATAAATCATCACATTGGTCAAAAGCTCATCAAGAGAGTATTTGCTGTTGAGAGAGAAGGATGAAGAAATTTAACCAGAAGCTATTTCTCAATGCACTGTATTGAGCTCATGTCCTGAAGTTGTTCCTCTTGTTCTCTGCTCATTTTCAAGCAGCAAATTAATTGGCACCTGTGTGCCCAGAGCAAAACCACCTTGTTCTGAATCCATGGTTTGCGGGCAGTCTGCTGTAAGTTTAAGCTACTACTTTTCATGTGTGGTCTTTCATCCTTAAATTTCAGATTTGACTGGCCAATCTTTTACCTGAATCCTCATATTCTTTATTATCGATCATTCTTTTAATGAGACTTTGCATGGAATAACATCTGTTTTCTTACCTTTCCAAGCCTCCATCATCTTTATACAGAAATGATTTGTCTGTCCAGGTGGAGAATTTCTCCAAAATATATGCAGCAAGCCCCACTGGGGAGTCATTCAGTCCACAACCTAATTCAGGAAAACAGAAGGGTTATTGCAGTTGCCCAGCATTGCAATACTTCAGTGGGAATTAAACTGGACTTTCATAAGTGTTCAATTTTCTATGAGAATTCAGTAGTGAGTCTGTATTTTAATACCCCTGATAGTACTTTATTCATGACAAATTCCCCCCAAAGTAATTCCAGCTGTAACCCATGGCACTACAAACTCAAGTAATTCCTATACAAAAGAAGCTAGGAACTAAGAAAGTCCTATTGGCTTCTTGGTAATGTGTGGCAGGAGTAAATTCAGATGTAGAGAGATTACCCTCTGAAAAGAAACTTCAGATAAAATACTTGGGAGCACTGTCGTGTTTTGAATGGGCAACCAGGACTGTTAGTGCTGTTCATCACTTTTTATCTAATTTAAACAGCGGACTGTTGTGTATCTGTTATCTGTTCCTCTCTTGGGGAACATAAGCAAACATTATAAATACAGAAATAGAGTATGAAGAATCCTAGACTGTGAGCAGCTTCCACAGAAGCACTGTACAATCACTGCAGTCTTTCTCCCCTTCATGTATTCTTCTGATTCTAAAGTATAATTATGAAGCAGGGTTAATAGAGATGCAACAGATTCAGAATATCATGGATTTAGTGTTTTCTTTTTTTTACTTTCTTTAACAGGTTGTAAGGTTCTCTTAAACTCTGAGCAGGCTGATGTTTCTCATGGATTCTCTCACATGGCAGAAGCCAAACTTGACCTCATTGTGATTTTTTCCTTTACTTAAATTGCTTTGGACTTTGTTAACATCGGTTTCTATTGGCTGGTTTTGTCAACCAGTCACTGAACTGTAGAGTTGCAAAAAAACCCATTTATCTTTAGATTAAACCAAAACTTGGATAGCTGCCAATTCTTCACCTAATCATTAACTTTTATTTGAAGAGAAGTCAGGATCATATTGAAGTGTACAAGTGCCAGCACAGATTTTTTGATACTCTCTCTCCCTTGGAACTTGCTTATTTATTCCTGTGCTTGATTCTCACATTGACTAGTTTTAATCCTTTTCTTAAGGCAGTTTAATTTCTTAAGAACACTGGAGGAATCTCAACAAAGTATTTTCTGGAAGTTATGTAAGTTCCATTACTGGACTCACAGCTCTTTGGTTCTGCCAGAGCTCTGATTTTTGAACTATGGTTTCCCTGTGATATTATCATCTGTAAATCAGTTCTTCTCTTTAAAATAGCTCTGCTAGTTTTCTGATCAGAGACTAGACATACTAGTCTTTATTTTTCTCAGGCTACCTTCACTGTTCGGCCCTTAAAAAACCCCCAAACAACCAGAAATGCCGCCACCACAATCCCCTCCAAACTAGTATCTCGTTTTTCTCGTTTTTTATCTTTGGTATTGTGATTACTTCAAGCAACAAACTAGACATTAGCTGACATTTCAGTTTCAGCTTTTTCTTCGGTGAATTGCCAGGATGGGGTGCTTGTTTGTTCTATGGTCTCCATAGCTGACAGCTCTGCTATCTTTCCTGATGGCGGGTTATTTCAATAAAGCAATACCCCAAAATCCTCTCTAGTGGGGACTGATGTAAATAATTTAACTTTGATGAAACGGCCATATATTTCTTCATACTCCTTATCTACTGGATCCAATATGTCAGGCTTCTGACACTATTTCACGTGTTAGGGCTATGTCTACCTTTCTGCAAGTTTCACGTTGCACTTCCTTGCTTTGGATATTTTTCTTGTTTTCAACCACATTTATTTCTAGAAGCTTCAATTTCAGGACTCTGTGCTTTGTTTTAGGAGACTTTTTGGAAAGGGGTTCTTTGCCTGAAAGAAGTGGCACGCTATTCAAAAGGCCTTGAAAAGTAGTATTTGAAATCTCCATATTTTTTTTGAGCTGTTCCTTTTAATTTTGTTTTACACAGTTCTTGTCCCCGCGAGCTCACTGTCCACATGGGTCTTTCATTCAGTCACCAAAACTTATTGCTTCCTAAACTTGGTTGGCCTTTGTTGCTATAAGACTGTATATACTATAAGTATTTACTATACAATGCTCACAGTGATAGAGAGAAGGTACATTACCTGCAGTGTCTGGTTTGGTGGATTGGATATGTAAGTACCCAGACTCTCTCAGAATGTCATACACGTTCTTCTGCATGAAAGGGTAGATACGTCGAGCATCTTCCCTACTGAGGCCTACAAGCCATGGTACATAAGCTCCAAGCATTGTGGAAATCAACCTTCCCAGACCTTGTTTGCTGATGAAGACGAGATTCAGGTGAAGCCCCTTCACAGATCTAAAATTAAGTTAATGAATAGAAGG